GACTTCACAAATGCAGTTCTGGCAGGATGGTCAAACATTCCCATCGACACACTCTTAAACCTTGTGGACAGCCTTCTCAGAAGCGTTAATCTGTTATTGCTGCAAAGGGTGGGCCAACTCAACCCTGCGAACTAAGACTGGGATGCCATTAAAGTTCATGTGCGTGTAAAAGCAGGCATCCCAATACTGTTAGCAATATAGTGTATCTATTGAATAGAAGCTTGGCTTGAGATGGTTTTTTAAATTTCTGATCTGCTGTATTCCCAATTGGCTATCCATTTTTTTTAATGTAAGGCTTGTCATTTTAATCATCTTTTTTAAAATAAAGATTGAAAAAACACATTGGCCATACATGTTTTTGTTTTTTTTTGTTTTGGGTTTTTTATATACTGTATATAGAGTGCAATTTGATGAGGGGCCTGCTCCTCAGTATCCAAAATGTAATTGAAATAACCTTAAGGATGTTACTATTTAGACATCTTTATTGATAAGTGATTTGCCAGTAATACAAATGGCTTTCCTTTTTACAGTCCTCAGAGTGTATGCAAAGCCAATGGTTAGCCTGCAGGGCAATAGTCTGAACGTCGCACAGGGACAACACGCCAAATAAGGATGTTGCACTGAACTACATAATTGTTCAATAATGTCTTTTGCACGTTTTTTTGATGTTTTTTTGCCCTGTAAAAAAAACTCTTGTTATGCCTTTGCCTATCATAAATAAAAAGTAAAAAAGTAAAAAAAAAAAAAAAAAACCAAAAAGCCCATAGAATAGTCAGATTTTTTATTTTTTTTTTCAACCAGCAGGCTGAAACAAAAAACCGTGACTCAATTTCCCCAACCATACACTGATTCGGGGGAATCATCCACACTGAGCTTTTGTATTCTGACAGCTGGGAGACTTCCCCGCTGTCAGAATACACTCATCAGGTTTGCTGGTGACATGGATGCCCATACACGGGCTGAAATTTGGCTGGTGCCTGCTGAGCTGGCTGAATTTTGAACCATATATGGCTGACGTTACTCTTTGAGTGTTTTCTGTTCTATTAGCGGAGAAACCTCACCTGATCTTGTGGGGTTTTAGGGTGGAGATGGGAGGGTTAGTTTGCACCATGGTTCACCCTAAATACATGTGTAATATGTAACCTGGTGCAAAGGATGGAGTCAGCCCTTAAGTTCACTTCAGACTATGTTCCTTTTTTAGAAGGGGAACATAGTCCCTATGCCTTTTTTATTGGTCAAACTTTTCAACTTCCAAAAGATTGAGAATTGCGGACGAGAAATGTTTTTGCCAAGAATTGGGGGGGGGGGGGTCACCATCAGTTGAATTTGAACTGTTCTGAAAGTTTTTTTTAAATCTGATTGGTGGTTGTGAGGAAATATACTCAGGCCCTTACAGACTTGGGCCAAAGTAACAATTCATACTGTTTTATTATATTTTTCTGCTATGCTACCCTACTATTGTGGTAACTCCTGGCATTCAGCTGACATTTTCTTGTCAATTTGGTAAATGTATGACTGTTGAACAAGCCAGTAGTAAGCACACTGTAATGTCTGTCTTAATGTATAGCTCTACTTTTTCCTTGTACTTACCTTTTACACCAGCTTGTTCAAAGGGAATTAAAGACACTAGAGTAAAATCTATTTATTTGCAGAACAATGAAGTATAGGTGCCACTTGGTGATAGCAGCTCTGGGATGTTTGGTCATTTTAGTAATATTACCTTGTTCTTAAGGGTGATTAATCCTTAGTCATGATACACTTCCAACCACTTAAAGAGGTTAGCAGTATGGAAAACTTTTTCTAGAATGAACAGCTTTGAACAGGTGTCAGGGATGATGGTCCTGATGAACAATATCAGTAGCACTGATTGTTTTGCTTCTTGTTAAAAATAAAATCTTCCTCTGGACCAAGAAAAATTATTTAATCTCAGTGGTCCATTTACAGCACCAACCTAATGTAGTATATTATTTACTCTTCACTAGACCTACTGTATTTAAATACGGTCAAAACATTGTTCATCAGGATGCAAAATTTGTCCCTTTTTTAATTTTGCATATCCCTTACTGTTGTTTTAAAAGTGTTTTTTTGAAGAAAGAAAAGGAAGATAAAGGATCTGAACTGCCCCTTTCTAGCATATCAGCTAGCGTAGAAAATGTTTGAGACTCAAACTTTATAGCACTGTTTTGTCTCTGTTTTTTTTTCTTTTCTGTTTTTTGTTTTTTTTTTACACCTCATTCAAAAATGTATGTCTTGCTGTTTTGACCCTGGTGAAAAATGAAGCACAAAGGACACTGTGCATTGCAGTGTAAATTCAGGAACTGTCACATCTAATAACTACTGGGTTTGAAAAAATGTTTTTTGCTTTGGCATCTTGCTCAAAGCAGATGTCAAGATGGAACTTAAAGCATACCATACAAGATGGATTCAAACCATATTAATATTGGACATTTGCAGTTCTGCCTTATGTTTTTTAGTTCCTGAGTTCTCATCTGTTGTTTTCTATACCTTTCGGATGAGAGGATGAACTGGCCCCATGACTTGTGACGTTGACCGCTATTGCTCCCAAAGTGATGGATGACTTCCATGGACATTACTCAGATTATTTACCAGACCTTCCCATATTTGCATGTCAAAATATAATTTTTCTTTTACTTCATTAGTATTTAGGAAATTCCAAATCTCTTGGCAGTGTGCTCCAGACATAGTCTAATGTTGAGATTTCATATTCCTCTCCGTAAACTTGACACAGACAAGCAGATCTTCTTGGTGTTGATGTCCTTTATTTCAAGGCTCTGTTTATCACATATTCGGAGAGGTCTGGTTTTCCTGTTCTCCTGAGCTACAGGCCAGTTTAGGCCATGACCCACTGATCTTTGGGATCAAATGTCAGCACTAGGTGTTTATCATTTAGAATTTTTAGAGTGCTAGATTTAAACCAAGAATTAAAGAATTCTGCCCCACATTTGAACCTGATTCTCAGAGACTCTCTGCTTCATCCTTTGAACTGCTGGAAATGATTACCATTAGATTCCTATAAATTAGGCCTGATCTACTTTTAGCTTACGCCATGGCTGTTGCTTTGGAAGAAATCCTTGCTTATGTAATTGTCTGAAAAGAAATTGTGACCCTTAAACTGGGCATGCTTTTGCTTCCTAAGTTGATGTCCACCTTTCGTCAGACACAGAATTATGTTCTTACTTTTTCTTGTATCCTAACGTAGAAGGACTAGAAGTACAAGAGGAAAAGATAACTTTTAAAAAATGAACTTTTAAAGATTGTACAACTGTGTCCATCTCATTTAGCTTTACCTACAATTGTGTAATACAAAGGGCCTACCTAATTGGGTATAAATTGAATGCAATTTTTATGTAGTTCCCTGCACTAAATAATTGTTAGTGATTTGTAAAGGATATTGTACAGTCAAATTGTAGTATCAAACAATATTTCACAGGGCAAGCGAGCGCTTCAGATAAAATGCTAAAAATAGAATTCGAACTCAGAAGTAGCAGCTGGACACCAAAAAAGTACCATAAAAACTTCCAAAATAATCAAAATAAATAGACAAGGTGCAGCGCTAAAAGTGTGTAAAACATATAAACATCTTAATACAGAAACCCATAGAGTTGCATAAAACAATAAGTTAGTGCAAAAATAAAATAAAAATGTCACCTATTGGTGACTATAGGTGATTGGACACTAAACAAAAATGCAGTCTATGGTGTGATCTGGAAAGATCCCAAATGATCTTCAAGAAATCCACAATCTGGATCCGTAGATGAGGTGATAAATATATATAAGGATTGCGCACTCACCAGATACGCAATCCCAGTGCGCATTAATCAGCAATTGTTTTCAGGACATCAAAGATCCTACGATGGGTCTGGTCAGATCTGGTCAAGTGCCCCTCGCCGTATGGTAATGTCGCCACGTGTGGGGATGGCCACTCTGCAGATATGAATGGCTCCCATCGGAGCTCAAAAAACAGAGGAGGCCAAATAGTGTGATATCCTTATGGTAAGGAATGTTTATTCCCCAAAGACAATACAGGCAAGAGCAAGAAAAATACTGACCCTCCAAATAAATTGAAAATGGCCGCCGGGGCCCTCGTGGCGCCGGTCGGCGTGACGTCACACCTCTGTAGCCGCTCCCCCGACGCGTTTCGTGCGAGGGCACGTAATCATAGGGGGTTAGCTTATGTGTCCCCATCTTTGCTTTGCTTTTGTGCAGGAATGTTCTGTAATAAAGACAAGTCAGTGCTGCTTTCTCTCCTTGTGCAGGGTGACTTTTCTTGTATGGTCTCTGCACCCCTCCTGTACTTTTCTGCAATCTGTAGAGTGGGCCTACAGCGTCCCTCCCACAGCTCTGCTGTCTGCACAGGGATGGTATTGTCACTAGTTTTTCAATAACCGGATCTAAAAAGCATTTTGTTAATGCGCACGATATGGATTTTGTTTATCCATTGTGGTTATTGAGAAATATATTTGTATTAGTTCTTTGTGTTTACACCCATGAGATGGTTAGGTCTGAGATCTGTAAAAGGAACAAAGCCATTAATAGTCCTCAACCATCAGGTTTGGAGATTGATTCTGTGAAAGCTCCTTCTGTGTTAAAGTTTTGCCTCCCTTGAGTAGATCTGGCAGGGAAATGCATGGGCCAGCTGTCAAGCAATACCACCTGGATGTTCTATCTAATCAAGATGACTCAAGGTGACAGATGCCTAAGCCATTGTGCTTTTTTTGACCATTAGAATAGATTTCCAGCTACCTGGACCGGAACAGAGAAGGATTATCCAAAGCAATTAATACTAATTTTTTTTTTTTTTTTGAGTCTTCACAACAGTCTTCACAACAGCACCCATATATTCCCAACCTTCTTTTGCTGTAAACGAAGTTTTCTAGCATTGACTTCTAGTGTCCCATTTGTTTATTGGGGAACACTGGAAGTTTGGGGAGATGGGATGGGAGTATTTAACCTCTCTTGTGTTTCCTGTCCCTTCTCAGGTGGGCGGAGGCAATCTCAGTTGGGGCTGTTGTGGAAACTCAAGAAACAGTAGTACTGGTAAGGATTGTCCTCATGGGTGTATAACCTGAACATCTTTACTTTACTTTTTTCTGAGTAAAGTTTTATTTTTTTTTTAAATGTATTCATAATCTAGAAAGATTTGTGAATGTTAAGAACCAGGCAATTTTTAGAAAGAAGGAAAACGCTTCCACCCCTCAGCAGCATGCAACATTTTTTTCCGAATATCCTCAAAAAAGTCCAGTGTATCCTTTCTTCCTGTAAAGGCCACCACAGGCGTGTTCTAAAGGCAAACAAATTGGGTACTTGGTTAACCCCCCCATTTCCCTTCCTATGCCACTCCTCTGATTTGTTCTCCTTCCTAAAGCTTTGTACTCAAGAGCCAAAAATCGACCAGTTCAGCAGGAACTGGCTGATTTTCAGCCCATGTGTACAGCTGTCTGTTCTACAGAAGCCAGCTTCACAACAGGCTTCTGTTGAACGGGCATGCTGGAAGACCAGCATGCGGCCCACATCCGATCAGTGCTTGGTTGCTAGCACTGATCAGTGTTTTCCGGCAAGGGAAGCCTCTTGTCAGAATACAAGAGCAGAGCAGGGGAGATTGTCGCACAAACATCTCTTGTGTTAGTATGGCGATCTGTCTGGGTTTTTGTATTGGGTTTTTTCATTCAACCCACTAGTTTGAATGAAAGAAAACTTCTAGCATGTACCAGGCTTAATACTCCCACTATAAATTGTAACTACTATTCACCCGTAGAGATTACCTTTCACTGACAAAAGGCGTAAAGGCAGACAGGTATTTGTCAGCAGGTGAATCCATACCAACCAATCACAAACTAACTTTTAAAAATAAAACCAGTAAAAATCACATAGAAATTTAATAATCAAAGATTTAGGGATTAAAGCAGTTTGTGTGGCTAAATGTATATATGTTCAGCAGCTTAAGTAACCACAGCTACATGAGATTTTTTTCTCCTAGCCCAAGTTACCATCCATTTCAGATATTGTCAGCTCTTTAATTTGGTACCTGCTATGAGTATCCCATCTGCCACATCCATCAGCTTTTTCCCTAAGCTTATTTTGTATGGGGGAGGAAAGTGGAAGAGAGGTTCAAGGAAAGTACAGAGAAAAAAAAAAAGTTGGGGGGGGGGGGATATCAAGGTGGATAGAGGATGAGAAGTAGAGAGGTGGGTCTGGGATGTATTGGGTCCCATAGATAAAGGTTTTAGGAATGGGGTAATGTGACTATTACTGATAGGGTGGGTTAGAGAATGTGGAAGTGTGATTAGGGGTGTTCCCAATGTCCTAGAACACATCCAGCAGCTTTATGGAGCTGTACCATTGTTTTGACTGATGCTTCATCACCCTCCTTAAGGTCATAGTGTGTCTTCATATGTTCATGTCCCAGACAAATGTGATCAGTGTTGACACTCCAAATACTGACATTTTATGCACTTCCTGTAAATTTCTTCAGAGCTTGCCCAGCACATCATAGACAGAATCACTCGCCCACTAGGAGACACACCCCCATACGTCCAGATTAAGGGCAACTGATACCCTAACCACAGCCCAATAATTGTGCCCCCCAAGTCTACAGATGTAGAATCTATTTACTATCCCAGTCTTGGTTGTTTTTACCCTTCCCTCATTGTAAGTCCCCTATCTCCTGGCTGTACAGGTGCATTATAGACCCATATAAATCTATGGGGCCTATCTGCCTTTGTCTCGCAGCCAGGAGGTTGCAAAGACACCTGATCTCTTAAACAACATTGGAAGTATCACTTTTTATTGAAGATATGGTTTGAAATTTTTATGTACCCACTCCTCTGTAAATTATGAGACTACTGTATACTGAAATGCTATTTTGCTGCTATTTTTGGACCTCTCTGCTACTAAGCTCATATATGTCATATTGCTTAATTGATGCTTACGTCTTCTTGTAAACGCTAGCATAAAAAGAGGGGGTTTGCAGTACTTTTCATAGGGATATAGTGAAAGCAGAGGCTGGTGGGAACAAAAGCAGCCTGAAATTTCAGTCAGATTCACTGCATGTTTTGACTTTACTCGGTATGAGGGTATATTCACCTGACAGATCGTAGGACAGCAGGAAAACTCCAGATAGGGATCAGACCAAACCCCATCATGCCCAGAACAGAGAAATACAAAATTATTTAGAAGGAAATGTGTATTAAAGCCAAGTTTTCAGTTTTTTTGTGTGTATGTATGTTTTAATTGGCACAAGGAATAGTGCTCACATTTAATGAGAAGTGTTCCTTTAATGCTGGTGGCTAACATCTTAGTTGAAATCTTTTGTCCCTCTGCCCACCTCTCCCATACACTATCAGCTGTAGTGTTCCAGTGCTGAGATGGTTAATACAGCTACTAGACCGGTCATAGGCACATGTCAATTGGGCTGAGGAAGCACACCTTTCTGCCAAACTCCATTCATTGAAGCTGGCTCAATGAAAAGAGCTTTATAAATGGAGGTGGCGAATTATTCATTCAACCGCCTTTCTTTCATTCATAGTGCATTATTCATTGATGGAAGCTATAGCATAGCTTCTCTGGAGGGGTGGAAAGGACACAAGCCACCAGCACAAGGGACCAGTCTCATTTAGGTACTGTCCCTTGTACTGATTAATAAAAAAAAAAGAAAAACTGGACTCAAGCTTTAAATATTTAACCAGTGTACTTTTTTTCTCTTTAATTGGCCTACAATAAATATTTTGATGTATGGTCAATATTTATTAATGTAAGTTCTAAAATCTTGATATAGACTGTAATGAAACAATTGTCTGATATCTCCTTTTTCCTTTTACTCAGAAAACTACAAAAAAGCTTTGTTTTTTTGTGTGTTTTTTGTTTTGTTTTTGTTTTTTTTTTTTATAGTACTGTTATAGAAATTCTTCTCAATATTTAAAAAAAAAAAAAAAAAAAAATCAATTGCTTCAAGCATAGAGCCATCTAGATTTGCATTTAAGTACCTACACATACAATGTCATTAAGTACATACATAATACCTACAGTCAATTGGTGGTTCAAGTATAGGTTATTTTTAGCAGTTGTACAGCCAAAAATATTGGCACCCCCTGCATTTTTGCAGGATAATGCACCACTTTGCCCAGAAAGTTGTTGCAATTACAAATGTTTTAGTATTTTCATGTTCTTTACTTTTGTTTGTATCGATCTGACACAAAAAAAGTGGAGAAACAAAAAAGACACATTCCACGCAAAACTCCAAAAATGGACTGGACAAAGTTACTGACACCTTTTCAAAATTGTAAGAAACCATTGCATTTTAAGTTTTTGTGATGCTCCTGTAATTTTGTAATTAAACTTGCCTGAATCAATTAGCAGGTGCTGACAATATAGAAAGCACAACAGCAACCAGTTAAAATGGTGAAAATTTGACTCAACCTTTTTATGGATGTGTCTGTGTGCCACATGGAAAAGAGAGCAGCAAACAATTGTCTGGGGATTTGAGAACAAAAATTGTAGAAAAGCATGGACAATCTCTAGGTCCAACTCCAGAGATTTTAATGTTCCTGTGTCTACTGTGCACAACATTGTCAAGAAGTTTACAGCCCATTTCTTTGTAACTGGACAAGGAAGAAAGAAAAAAAAGTCTCAAAGATTAGAACAAAGGATTGTTTGAATGGTACATTGGGACAATGGAACCTCGATCAACTTCCAGACAAATTCAAGCTATCCTTCAGGTACAGGGTACAACTGTGTCAGCTCGCACTACACGTTGCCGTCTGAATGAAAAGGGACGCTATGGTAGGAGACCCAGGAGGACCCCACTGTTGACACAAACCTAAAAAAAGCCAGATTGGAGTTTGCTAACACTTACCTGAGGAAGTCAAAATCCTTTTAAGAGCATGTGCTTTGGACAGACAAAGCAAAATTACAGCTTTTTGGTAAAGCCCATCATTCTACTATTTTCAGAAAAAGCAATGAGGCCTTTAAAGAAAAAAAAAATACGGTCCCTACAGTCAACCATGGTGGAGGTTCACTGATGTTTTAGGGTGCTTTAGGCACTGGATGTCTTGACCTTGCACATGGCATTATAAAATCTGAAGACTAAGAATTCTGGGGTGTAATGTAGAGCCCAGTGTCCAAAAGTTGGTCTCCATCAGACGTCATGGGTCTTACAGCAGGAAAATGACACAAAGCACCCAGAAATGGTTGAAGACAAAGCGCTGGAGAGTACTGAACTGGCCAGCAATAATTCCAGATCTTGATCCCATTGAGTACATGTGGGAGAGATCTCAAAACAGCAGTTAGAAAAAGGAACCTTTCCAATCTGAGAGACCTAGAGCAGTTGGCGAAAAAAGAGTGGTCCAAAATTCCAGTAAAGAGGTATAAACTAATTTATGGTTACAGGAAGCAATTGATTTCAATTATTTCTTTCAGGGGTGTGCTACCAAATATTAAATTGAGGGCACCAATAATTTTGTTCAGTCCATTTTTGGAGTATTGCGTGGAATGTGTCAGATTTGTTTTTTTTGTTTCTCCACTTTTTGTGTCATACCAATACAAACAAAAGAAATAAACCTGGGAATGCCTAAACATTTGTAATTGCAACAATTTGCTGGGCGAAGTGGTGCATTATCTGCCAAAAATGCAGGGGTGCCAATATTTTTGGCCATGACTGTATGTGGTATGTAATATAGGGTTTTTAGATATTGTAGTGTTTTTTAGCTTAAAGAAAATTTTGATGTGATTTTCTAATTTCTACGTTTCATCTTTCAGATTTTTGTATTGTATATACAGTATATCCATCACTGTACATGTGTGTAGATTAGCCAGTAGAGGGTGGTCTCTACGTTTAGCTGCAGTCATTCAATCAGCTTGCTGAAAGAAACTACTTTAGGAGTGCATATTTCATTGGCACAGCTCAAAATAAAACTTTCAGAAGAGTCCTACAGTGCAGTACTGTGAAAAAGTATTTGCCCCCTTCCTGATTTTTTTTTTTTTTTTTATTATTATTTGTCACACTTAAATTATTCAGATCATCGAACAAATTTTAATATTACACAAAGATAAACAAAGTAAATACAAAATGCAGTTTTTTAAAATGATGATTCCGTTTATTAAAGGGAAAAAAGCTGTCCAAACCTGTCTAGCCCTATTTGAAAACGTAATTGCCCCCCTTTCTAAATCATGAATGAACTGTGATTAATCACATTTTTTGGAAAGCTGTGCTAACCACTTGCCATCCTGAGGATTTTATCCCCCCCCCCCCCCCCCCTTCCTCACCAGGCCATTACGACGCTGCGTTACTTTAACTGAAAATTGCTCGGTAATGCAACACTGCACCCAAATGAAACTTGCGTCCTTTTTTCCCCCACGAATTGAGCTTTTCTTTCAGTGGTATCTGATCACCTATGTGTTTGTTTTTATTTTTTCTTTTATTGTTTGCGCTATATAAAAAAAACCAAAAAACTACAATTTTGAGGGAAAAAAATGATATTTTTTTTCTTTTGCTATTAAACCTGTCCAGTAAATAAAAATTTAAAAAAATTAATTTCGTCATAAATTTAGGCCAAAATGTATTCTGCTTCATGTCTTGTGTACGTGTAAATTAATTGGTTTACGTGAAAGTTAGTGTTTACAAATGGCGGTACAGATACTGGAATTTTTTTTTTTTTTTTTACTAATAGCTGCAATCAGCAACTTATAGTGGGACTGTGACGGTTATTCTGACACTGGGGGGAACGGACATGGTGTCACTGACATCCCCTGTGACACCAATACAGTGATCAGTGTGCAAAAAAAAAAAAAAAAAAAAAAAGCACTGACTCTGTACTAATGGCACTGGGCAGGAAGGGGTTAACATGAGGGGCGATCAAAGGGTTATCTGTGTGCTGGGAGTGTTTTACTGCGGGGCAGTGTGTTGGTGCTTCACTGCCAGGACACTGCTCTGGATGGCTGTGATGTGCACAGCGATCCAGAGCAGTGTGCCCGAGCCGACAAGGAGGAGGACTGTTAGTAAACAAAGCAGCCCTCCTCCCCGTCGGAGATCCTCGGTAATCACCAGGTGCCGGCGGGTAATCACTGTCCGTGACTCGGTGATTGATGGCCACAAATGGCAGCGCGGGTAGCACGTGTGCACGCATCCTACCCGGAAATGCAAAATCACGTATATATACGTGATTTTGCACACCCCCGCCCTGTAGCAGTGTATATGCTATGGTGGGGGATGTGGTTAAGTTTCACTTGCCAGACCTGTTAAATCAAGAAGTCACTTACATAGAAGCTGTCGGACAAAGTGAAGCACACTAAAAGATTTACAAAAACAACTCGTCATGCCGCGATCTAAAGAAATTCAGAACAGATGGGAAACAAAATTGGGACATGTATCAGTCTGGAAAAGGTTACAAAGCCGTTTCTGATGGTTTGGGACTCCAGTGAACCACGTGTGAGAGCCATTATCCACAAATGGGAAAAACTTGGAACAGTGGTTGACCTTCTCAGGAGTGGCTGACCTGCGAAAATTACTCCAAGACCACACTGACTACTTATCAAGGTCATAAAAGAACACAGACATCTAAAGAACTGCAGGCCTCACTTTCCTCGGTTAAGGTCAGTGCTCCTGATTCAACAATAAAAAATAGACTGGGCAAAAATTGCATCCATGGGAGAGTTCCAAGGCGAAAGCCAATGCTGATAAAAAAAAAAAAAAACACAAAGCCTTGTCTCACATTTTGCCAAAAAAAACATCTTGGTTATCTCCGAGACATTTGGGCATATATTCTGTGGACTGATGAGACAAAAGTTGATCTTTTTGGAAGGTGTGCATCCCGTTACATCTGGCATAAGACTAAACAGCATTTCATAAAAGAAAATCATACCAACAGTCAAACGTTATGGTAGTGTCATGCTCTGGGGCTGCTTCACAGCTTCAGGACCTGGATGACTTACCATAACTGATGGAATCATGATATCTGCACTCTACCAGAAAATCCTGAAGAAGAATGTCTGGCCATCAGTTTGTGACCTCAAACATACTTGGGTTATGCAGCAGGGGGTTTAGGAGACAATTACTTTTTCACATAGGCCCAGGCAGGTTTGGCTGGCTTTTTTTTTTTTCCCCCTAATAAAATCATAATTTAAAAACTGCATTTTGTATTTACTAGGGTCATCTTTGTGTAATTACTAGGGTTATCTTTGTGTAATATTAAATTTAGTTGGATGTGGATAATTTAACCACTTCAAGTCCAGACACTTTTACCCCCGTCCTGTCCAGGCCAATTTTCAGCTTTCAGCGCTATCACACTTTGAATGACAGTTGCGCGGTCATGCAACACTGTACCCATATGAATTTTTTAGCATTTTTTGAGACAGATAAAGCTTTATTTTGGTTGTATTTATTCACCACTGGGATTTTTATTCTTTTTGCTATATAAATGAAAGTCCAAAAATGTTGAAAGTGTTTTTTTCTTATAAAGTTTTGCAAATAATATTTCATCATAAATCTTGGCCAAAATTTATTGAGTTATCTTTTTAGTAAAAAAAAATAAATAACCCAAATTAGTTTATAACCAAAAATTATAAATTTTAAAAAAAAACTTTTTAATTTTTATTTGTTTTTTTTTTTTTTTTTTTTTTTTTTACATACTGTCACCCTAGCAGTACAGTGTCACCATGGTGACACTGTACTACTTGTGGGGGGGTGATGATGTTTTTTTTTTTTTTTTTACACTGATGGCTTTTACACCCATAAAGGCTGTAAAAGCAATAATTTCTCCTTCTCTCTGAACTACTGTGTGAGCTGTGATTGGTCACAGCTTGTCACATGGTACAAGGCTGTTATGAATAGCCTTGTACCATGTTACCTCTGTGATCATTCACAGATTTCACAAGTAGTAAGCAATGATGTCAGAAGTGACATCTTGCTTACTACTCTGCATGTGATCACTGATTGGCCAATCAGTGATCAGATGATCGGGACCTTGTACGGAGGATACAGTGGCGGTGCTGCACGCTCCCAGGGAGCGCTCTGTCCAGAATGGTGGGCACCGTTTATGAATGTCAACCCGCCCCTGGACTGCCACTGTCCGGACGTTTTATATACAGCAGCCAGACGGCAAGTGGTTAGGTGTGACAAATATGCAAAATAAAATTAAGAATCAGGAAGGGGGAAAATACTTCTTTTTAACTGCACTGTACCTGTAAAGCTATATAACAGCAGTGGCCACACATGGATTGAAATTCGATTGGTCCCTGCTCAACGGGTTAAATTTTAATCCATGGATTGCAAGCTTTACTTGCCATTGGACAAACCATTTAGGGGCCTTCTTTGACCTGGCTGACTACTACAGTAGATACGGATTTCCTGGTAATTATCTAACTTTTCTAATTTGGAATAATGGAGCAAAATATGAAATAAGATTGGACTTTGAGTGTCACAAACCAATAAGCAGTTGTCATAATCTTCTATCAATCAGGCATTGAGGAAGATAACGTTAACTCTATATAGTCTTTTGTTAATAATCCGTTCCCTCTGTCTTCCTAATTTGACATTGGTGAAAATATATGTTTTGTTGCAGCTGGAGGAGTATACATTTTTTCAGAAATCTGCAGGGGAATTTTATAGGTATTAACATGTAGTTCTGCTCTAGAATCCTACTGATTGTTGAAACAATAGTAATATAGATCTGCAGAAAGCATCCTGTAATGGTGACCCTGTTAAGCTATATTGAAGAAATAAAATTTACACCATGTAAAGTAATAAGAACAGTGCAATATATGTTTATCTAACCAGCGCATTGGATTTACCTATTGAATCTGCAGCACTGTTGTACATATGAAATTGTGCATCTCATTATATGCTCTACAGAATCCTAACAATCTAGCTAAAGAGTAACTATCATAAGTTCTGATCCAAAAAAAATCAGGAAATATCTTCAAAAATACGCTAACTTTAGTCTGTTTATGTATCCCGTTCACAGCAATGCCTTCTTGTGTAATTGACAAATATGCCTGCGTTGGCGTACATCTAAACTTGCAAACTAAATTTAAAAATAATGTTTTTATTAACACACATAGATGAGACTATTTTTGAGTTTCTCTTTATCTGTATTAAAAAAAAAAAAAAAAAAAGTAGTATTATGAAAATACTATATATTACCTTAAAGTAGTGCTTTTCCGTATATAGGTGGTCTGGCCGTAATCATCGTGAGAAAATTGGAGTCCATGTGTTTTTTGACCAAGTGCTGAACATGGAGCCATACTGTCGAGGTGCGCTATGTCCATCAGATCCTGGGACTTATCTTTATGACCTTTCTGCAGTGGTGATGCATCATGGTAAAGGATTTGGTTCTGGCCACTATACAGCATATTGCTACAACACAGAGGGTGGTAAGTTTAATAGTTTAATTGCCTGTAATACTGGCACTTTAAATATGTGCATAGTTTTGATTTATAAAACTGTTAATAGCGACTTTAATTAGGAGTGAATTTCTTCTTTTATCCTCTATATATTTTGAGACACTTGACTCTACATGTCTGTACATAACCACACTCAATAAGCAGCACTTTAATGCATTTGGCAATATCGGACACAACATAAATTTCAATTGCAAACTACCGCTGTTCAATAGGAACAAAATCTCTCCATATGTAACTTGCCCATCAATAAAAAAAATGCACCTTTTGTTAACACAGTGAGGTAGACTTGCTAAAACTGGAGAATGCAAAATCTGGTGCAGCTCTGCATAGACACCAATCCGCTTCCATGTTTTAATGTCAAAGTTTTATTGAACAAGCTGAAGTTAGAAGCTGATTGACTACCATGTACAGCTGCATTAGATTTTGCACTCTCCAGTTTTAGTAAATCAACCCCAGTGTCTTAGGCACCTTTCACACAGACGTTCCGATCAGGTCAGCCTGCCTGTTTTGCAGGTGGACCCAATTGGAACCTCTGTTCTCCTTTATGGAGCAGCGGGTGTAAATGGACATGTGTTTGTTTCTATGTGACATCCAGTCCGATCCGCCAAAAAAGAGAAAGATCGGGATCTGTTCCCCTTTTATCCATCAGATCGGACAGGCAGGCGATCTGTTTCCATCTGACCACCTGTAGAGGAAAGCGGGTTGTGTCTGTTTCCGCTCTGCATAAGCAGAGCGGACATGGACCAGTAATCCGCTTGCTCAGCGGGGATCAGCAGACAGATCCCCCACTCGGCAAGCATTTCCGCTGATGTGTCCACCCTCTGTGAAAGGGGCCTTACAACTGCATTTGCAACACCTTTTATAGCTGCCTTTCTTAACCAGGGTGCCTTGAGGTTTCTTCAGGGGTGCTTTGGCAAAATGTCTAAAAATTGCCTAAAACTTATATACAAGCCAGTGGATGGAACAAGCCTGCCTTTTTATGTACAAAAAGCCACAGGTTTGATTGTTCACCATTATGACCTTCTAGCCGCCAACATCCTGACAACCAATGACATCATCAGTTGAGAAGGAGGATGTCAGTTGCCTGCACAGCATCGTAGTTTGACCCTCCCCTGCACATTAGCTCAGTGATGGAGAAAAACTGAGGGAGTAGAGAGACACTGGAATACTAGTCAGTACCAAAAGTGTATTTGCTTTGGAAGAATAAATCATCTCTAATGTTGGGTGTCCTACATACAGTAGGTGGATGTTGCTGCATTATATAAAACTCTTAGAATAGTTTTTCACATTTTTAGAATGGGGTGCCCTTTTAAAAGTATGGACAGTCTTGAGGTACCCAGTTTTAGAATGGGGTGCCTCAAGACTGTCCAGAATTTTAAAGGGTGCCCCAGGGCGGTCTATAATTTTAAAGGGTGCCTTGACTGAAAAAAGGTTGAGCAACACTGCCTTATAGTATGACACATCATTATTGAAAATATTAAAACCACCAATCAACACCTCTAAAATGGACCTAATAGTTTTTAAACCTTGCATCTATATTTATTTAGTCTTCCATGGATGTGTTACTAGGATTATGGCACAGATACAAAAAAAATTCTGCGACCAATAGACCCTGGGGCACATTGACTCATAAAATTCTTTGGCTGCATAGTGGCACATGGTGGGCTTAGATGGTGCCTATTGGTGGGAGTGGCTTAAAGAGAAGTGGTCAGAACATGAGTCTACCTGCTGTATACCCAGCACACACATTCTGCAGGACCTACAAAGTACTCCTTAATTGCTGTGCCACAAGCAACACAGACACAAAAAGCTCAGTACAAAAGATCACTTTTTTTTCCCCAAATGAAACCCTTCAATAACATACTTTTCTGCACATAGAATATAAAACTAATACTTTACCTTAACCACTTGCCCTCCAGAAAATGTACCCCCCTTCCTGTCCAGGCCATTTTATGCTATATGGCACCACGTTATTTTACCTGACAATTGCGCCTTCATGCAACCCTGTACCCAAATGAAATTTTGTTTTTTTTTCCCACAAATAGAGCTTTCTTTTGGTGGTGTTTGATCACCTCTGCGGTTTTTACTTTTTGCGCTATAAAGAAAAAAACTAACCATTTTGAAAACAAAAACAATATTTATTTTCTGCTATAAAACATATCCATTAAAAATAATTTTAAATCACATTTCTTTATAAATTTAGGCCAAAATGTATTCTGCTACATATTTTTGGATAAAAAAAAATCCCAATAAATGTATATTAATTAGTTTGCACAAAAGTTATAGCGTCTATAAACCATGGTACATATAGTGGAATTTTTTCTTATTTATTTTTGTTTATACTAGTAATGGCGGTGATCAGCAACCTATAGCAGGACTGCGATTATTGCGGCTGCCATTTTTGCACTAACTGACACTTTGTTGGAACCTGTGACATTAATACAGTGTAAAAATATACACTAATCACTGTACTAATGACACTGATTAGGAAGGGGTTAACATCTAGGGTGATCAAAGGGTTAAGTGTGTGCTTGGTGTACAAAGTGGTGCTTTTACTATGGGAAGTGATGGATCGTGTTCACAGCTCTCCAGAGATACATGATTCATGACTCCCCCCTGTCACAACAGAACTGTAAACATAGATACAGCTCTGTTCTTTCCTGGCCGATGATCTACAGGTGCTCGCCGGGGTTTGTAGATCAGTTTGTGCTGTGACATTCCACAGCAGAAGCAATCCCCGGCTCCGCGTGCACGCCCCCATGTGGCGGCAGTGCAAAATCACGTATGTATGTGATTTTGGACAGGAATGCTGTCCTGTAGCAGTAAAACTGCCATAGGGCAGATGTTAAGTGGCTAAAGAAAATCTTCATTAAAATAACTGTCTAAATAGTTGCTGGTTTCTAATTAGTCCAACGAACTCTTTGGTCAGGATTATTTGATGTACAATATAATGTAGAGAACACAACAGAACTTTGCAGTTTACAAAAGCATATAGGCAGTGCCACAGTTAGAACTTTTACAATGTGCAACACAGCTTGCCGAGTGCAGTAGTCATAGGAAAGTGTCCCCTTATGATGGTGGCTAGTGGTAGAAGCCCATTAAATGTTAGTGGCTGGTGGCTTGTAATAAACACAAACCATGCAGCCCTGTAATCATTAATACATCAATAAATTCATTTTTGGCTATAGGCAATGTAAATTCCTGATTTTGTTGTGCTTGCTAGGAGTCTCTTGCTGTCTACTGTAAGTCTATACCGCAGAGCTCAGACAGGTAAAAGCTGAAGACACACAAGGAGCAGGTCACACATACTAAGATAAATGCAATCAGTGAGCGCTTCAAATGATAGCAGCTATAGCATGCAAGGCAACCAAAAAATAAACATCATAAATATATGTATAAGAAGTGCAGCGCTAAAAAGTATATACCCCAATAAAATATGTTATACTCACTATGTTCTCCAAATCATATGGATAATAAAAGTAACACAATAAGAAAATATTAAAAGTAATAAAAATTAATAAAATAGTGACAGTTCGTGATGAGTGATCTATACAGGAGTTG